TAAAGTTTTAGAATATCAAAATTTAAAATAAGTAATACAATTTATTGATAAATAATTCAACCCTAACTCTAAACCTATCCTATTCTTAACACTAACTCAACATTGTTGTTTTATAAAAACATAACCGACTCTAACTCTCTAACCCTAATCCTAATTCTAACATTAACTCATAATTGATGTTTAATTTTATAAATTATTTATTTAATTATTTTTTTTTGAAGGTTTTATTTTTTAATTATTTACTATTTTTTAATAGTATTACAGATAAATTTGCTTATAATTTTATTTATTTATTTAATAATTAAATTCATTTTTAATTTTTTTTTTATTTAATTTTAATGTTCGCACGCGATTTTTAAAAAAAATTTTTTTTTTTATAATCGCGCGTTCTAATATTTAATTTTTTTAAATATTTTTTAAATATTTTTTAATTTGCATTTATACCATAAATCCCCTATACTTTTAATTTAATTATTTTATTTTTAATTTTCGAATTTAATTTATTTAGAAAGTTCTCAAGCACCTAACTCAATCGATCGATTATATTCGAATCGAAAATCGAAAATCGAATCTTAGAGTCGAATCATGGTGAAACGATAATCGCGATTAAATCGATTCTCAAATCGACTACATTATAATAGTTACTAAATTGATATATGTATAAAAGTCATTTCCAGCTAACTTTAATGTTTGGAATTTTCAAAAAAAAAGTTTTATTTTTACAATAAAACTGTCGATCTGTGGCCAAAAAAGTTATTTTAGGCGATCTGTAGCATTATTTGTGTGGTGGTTACTTTTCTTTTATAATAAATAAATCACTTTTTTGGTATGTGTAACATAATTTATCCGATTAATGGATTAAATAGCGGGCCGAGATTTTTGATATTTAATCCACCCAATTTTTTGTTTATCTTGTTTTATCACATTGGAAAATAATAATAATAATTCATAATGTTTTATGCAACCATTTTGGTTTTTATATCTTTTATAGCTTATAAAATTTATCAATCATTCAAAGTACCCGAAGGACTTAAAGATGTGCCAACATTAAGTTATTTTGGATTTATTATATCTTTGCTTTCTAATGATGGTCCTGACAAACTTTGGGAAAATTCACAAAAAGTTCTTGAGAACGAAGGAATTGGAAAAGTACAACAATCTTATCATTCTTATACGATTTATTAATTTTGAAAATAAATTTTCTAAAAAAAAAAAATTAAAAAAAAATTTATAGTTTTGGTTCAATGGAGCATGGAATATCGTTACAACCGATTTGGAACTTACAAAAGATGTATTTACGAGAGCAGGTTAGGTTTAGAGTTAGGGTTGAATTATTTATCAATAAATTGTATTACTTATTTTAAATTTTGATATTCTAAAACTTTA